GGAGGGTCTCTCTTACCACCGTGAAGGAGGGTTTCTCTTAACACCTCAAAGGAGGGTTTCTCTTAACACCGTGAAGGATGGTCTCTCTTACCACCGTGAAGGAGGGTTTCTCTTAACACTGCGAAGGAGGGTTTCTCTTACCACCGTGAAGGAGGGTTTCTCTTAACACTGTGAAGGAGGGTTTCTCTTACCACCGTGAAGGAGGGTTTCTCTTAACACTGTGAAGGAGGGTTTCTCTTACCATCGTGAAGGAGGGTCTCTCTTACCACCGTGAAGGAGGGTTTCTCTTAACACTGTCAAGGAGGGCGGTGGGGTAGCCTAGTGGTTAAAGCGTTCGCTCGTCACGCCGAAGATCCGGGTTCGATTCCTCACGTGGGTACAATGTGTTAAGCCCATTTCTGGTGTCCCCCGCCGTGATATTGCTGAAATATTGCTAAAAGCGGTGTAAAACTAAACTCACTCACTCACTCACTGTGAAGGAGGGTTTCTCTTAACACCATGAAGAAGGGTCTCTCTTAACACCGTGAAGGAGGGTTTCTCTTAACACCGTGAAGGAGGGTTTCTCTTAATACCATGAAGGAGGGTTTCTCTTAATACCATGAAGGAGGGTTTCTCTTAACACTGTGAAGGAGGGTTTCTGTGAATACCGTGAAAGAGGGTTTCTCTTAATACCGTGAAGGAGGGTTTCTTTAACACTGTGAAGGAGGGTTTCTCTTAATACCGTGATGGAGGGTTTCTCTTAATACCGTGAAGGAGGGTTTCTGTTAACACTGTGAAGGAGGTTTTCTCTTAATACCGCGAAGGAGGGTTTCTCTTAATACCATGAAGGAGGGTTTCTCTTAATACCGTGAAGGAGGGTTTCTCTGCATACCGTGAAGGAGGGTTTCTCTTAACTCTGTGAATGAGGTTTTCTCTTAATACCGTGAAGGAGGGTTTTCTTAATACCGTGAAGGAGGGTTTCTCTGAACAGTGTGAAGGAGGGTTTCTTTTAACACTGTGAAGGGGGTTTCTCTTAATACCGTGAAGGAGGGTTTCTCTTAACACTGTGAAGGAGGGTTTCTCTTAATACCGTGAATGAGGGGTTTTCTTAACACTGTGAAGGAGGGTTTCTCTTCATACCGTGAGGGTAACAATGGTGGCAAGCACTGGGCGACAAACGACCATAAGAGTGAGAGAGTGAATTTAGTTTTACGCTGCTTTTAGCAATATTCCAGCAGCATCAAGTCGGAGAACACCAGAATTGAGATTCACAGATCGTGCCCAGGTTGGGAATCGAACCCGGGTCTTCGGCGTGACGAGCGAACGCCTTAGACCACTATCCACCCCACCGCCCAACGGCTGTAAGAACAAGGTAACTGCCAAGTTAACATGTACGAGGGCCTTAATCAACCTGCTGCCAGTTTTAAGCGACATGAAGACATTTATTGATCACGTAAATTCTTCCAGGAGTGATTTCATCTTAGGTTACCGTAGAGTGACGTTTATGGGGAGTGATTTCATCTTAGGTTACCGTAGAGTGACGTTTATGGGGAGTGATTTCATCCTAGGTTACCGTAGAGTGACGTTTAGGGGGAGTGATTTCATCCTAAGTCACCGTAGGGTGACGTTTATGGGGAGTGATTTCATCTTAGGTTACCGTAGGGTGACGTTTATGGGGAGTGATTTCATCCTAGGTTACCGTAGAGTGACGTTTAGGGGGAGTGATTTCATCCTAAGTCACCGTAGGGTGACGTTTATGGGGAGTGATTTCATCCTAGGGTACCGTAGAGTGACGTTTATGGGGAGTGATTTCATCCTAGGTTACCGTAGGGTGACGTTTATGGGGAGTGATTTCATCCTAGGCTACCGTAGAGTGACGTTTAGGGGGAGTGATTTCATCCTAGGTTACCGTAGAGTGACGTTTATGGGGAGTGATTTCATCCTAGGTTACCGTAGAGTGACGTTTAGGGGGAGTGATTTCATCCTGCCTCACCCAATATATCCAACCACTCGTTCAGGTGAAATATTGGTCGGAGTTGTGTGTTGAGGAAAGGAAAGCTATTCCTGGAGTCCGCCTTCTGTCTCCTGTCCTCAACTGAGACTGGACACAACTCATGGGAAGCGTATAGCCTTCTTTAGATGCCTAATTACGACTGGCAATGGGGAAAAGGCTTTAACGAACCTATTGACAAAACATGTGATATGGTTGTGGATTATCGATGGCTTACCACAGGCGTCAGTAAGTCAAGGGACGAATTGACGTTACTGAGGTTTCAGCATATTTGACCGAACAGAACTGAATTTTATATACACTCTGGTCGCGTTCATTTGAGCTACATGTTTACATCATTATGTACAACATATATATGTTACATGCATGTATGATACGCAAAATATTAGAATATTGGGTTTGAATATGGATCTTCAATAACCCATGCTTGTCGTAAGAGGCGACTAACGGGATCGGGTGGTCAGGATCGCTGACTTGGTTGATCGATGCTCATGCTGTTGTTCACTGGACTGTCTGGTCCAGATCGAATATTTACAGACCGCCACCACACATACCGGGAATATTGCTGAGTGTTGCGTTAAACAACAACCAAACCAAACCAAACCAAAACCAAACCTTGTCTGGGTGAGACAGTATTTTGAGACCAGCATGATTCTGGACTGGAAGAGTTGCTTAAAGGCACAGACATACACAGAGGTTTACCGAGGATTGTGATTTGGGCGGTGGGAAAGCACAGTGATTAAAACATTCACAAGTTTGTCTTGAATCTGGGCATTCTGGAGCTTGTCTCGAACTTGCATTCCAAGATAGGTGTAGGCCTGATATTTCACAAGATGCTCAATAACTCATCCCCACTGCAACTTGACTGATCTACCATTAACTACCTTGCCACGTTTCAAATGAAGAGTGTTACATTTGTCGAGTCCAAAAGTCATGCCAATATCATTAGAAAAGGACTCGACATTTGTATGGCACCAATATCCAGCTCAGCTGCTCAAATCATTGGATGTCAAACTCAAACAGCATACCGTATTCTTTAAATCTGAACTCCATGGGGATCAAAACAAGTTTCATTTCTTTCATGAACCCTAATAAATGTGAACTGACATGATTTGCACGATCTTTTGAATGATGAGGTCTAATGTGCTCTCAGGAGGACACTATGTTTGTCCCCTTCCACCGGACAATCAACATCAAATGAATCAAATTCCAGTGATATGACAGTGCAGTTAACGATCGGTCCAAACATTTCTTTTGCAAGCAACTAGCATTCTACACTTAGCTTCACAGCCAGTTAATCAACCATAGCCTCCACATAGCGGGAAAAAGCAACAATCTTTATACAAATTATCGTCAGTAAGGAAATGGACGAACGAAATTGAAGAGTGAATATATTTATTTTTGCTAACACATATGCATGCTGTAATAGGAAAAATCCTGAAATACATGCAAGACAAAAACAGAATCATCTAGAGGAAAGAATATTACAAATATCCCAATCCAAACCAAATGCCTTTCAGTTTTAACTTATGTTATATTTTGGATTTCACGATCTCGGTAAAGCACAGATTCTAGTACTATTGTAAAACGCGGTGGGTCAGTGGGTTAGACGGCTTTGAGTGCTTGTGATTGTATGCGGGGATTAGGATGTGGGTTCGAATCCCGGATGGAACTCAACACAGCAAAAGTACTAGAATCTGTACTGACCTAAGAAAGTGTAACCCCAAAAGTAACATATGTTACATTTGAGCACTTTCTAGATGACATTTTGTTACTATTGAAGTACGTTTCAAAGAATTAACCCAGGGTTCTCACAGAATACCTTTACAATAGGTGAGCAAATCGCTTCAAACACAGAGGTGTACACACATATACGTCTCGATAGATATGCGGATTTATACACAGGGTTGTAGGCACATACAGGACTAGCTATATAGGGCTTGTAAGTCTCGCAAGGCGCTACTTCCGGTACTACGCTGGTTCCCAGCTCCCCTTTGCGCCCGCCAACTTGCGATATGAGAGACGGGATCCAGCTTACTTCCGCTACCAGATTTCTGGTGACAAGCGTATTTTCAAGAAGCAGTTCTGGTTCAAAATTGCGCGACCACCAAAAATGACTTTCCTTGACCGGACCAAGTGTACAACCATGATTTGCTGCCAAAGTCGTAATAGTTGACAATTGGATATTCCTGCAAGGGTTATCGGTTCCTTACTGTCAACTGACAACCATGAGACCATCCTAAAATGTATGAAACGTTTTTGTTCCCGAAAGTACTAAGGTCTCACGAAGTGCCGTGACCTACTTACGGGCCCTATTGTTTGATATAGGTGCATGTGTCAAATACGAAGCGGTGGTACTATAACAAATATGTAGAAAAGCGTCGTTAAAGTACAATTAGAAATATGATAAGACATAGCGCTAATTGAGGACATTGTCAACATATTTCGGGCATAATGACACGGTTTCAGAGTAAAAAGTTTGTAGTGAAGCTCCGACAGTGTATTCATGTTTTAAATTCTTTTTAGAAAGATCTACAACATATTTGCATAAATGAAACAAAACTTAGGTTTCCAGCAACATTTTTGTACATAATCTGTAGTTTTCCAATTCTGAAAAAAGGACCAAAGGAGATGCGTAACATTCTATGGTGACTTCAGTAAATACTGGATTGGTTGATTAAAGTCATTGAGAGGTACATTTTCCAACACAGAATGTAATTTCTCTAAATCTTATTAACGCGGTTGTGGTAGAATGGAGATAAAAATACTGTGCTGGAAAATCAGAGGTATATAACGAAATTATAATAGCTCTAAATTTCATTCAAAACAGAACGCGAATTTAGAGCTATTATAATAGCGTGAGGTTTTAAATAATATAAATAGAGTTGTTATAATAACGTGAGGTTTTAAGTAAACAATTTAGAGCTTGTATAATTTCATTATATGCCTCTGATTTTCCAGCACAGTATTTTTATCTCCATTCTACCATAATCGCGTTAATAAGATTTAGAGAAAGGGAAACAAACATTTGAAGCCATATCTAATAAAGTACTTTCTTAACGCTTAAAGCACATGCAATTCTGCAATGATCATCCATTGTTCTCAGTATATCATGTAAGTTAACACCGATATCAAACTCATCAGGAAACACTGTGAAATGTGAACTTTTAAACAATTACGCCATTTAATAAAACAATATGACATTTAATAAAACAATATGACATTTAATAAAACAATATGACATTTAATAAAATAATATGACTCCATGAAACAGTAGATTGTTCCAAGCACTTTCGTTTTCGAGGACGTCCACTTCATATGGGAGAGAAATCATTTCACAAAGAACTCTTCTCAATTTCTAACCCGGTACATTTTGCTGAAGATCGAAGGGGAGGATTCAAAGGACTGGGACGGTGACGACTGTGATAACAAGACACTCCTTAATTTGAGTAAGCTGTCTCCCACATTCACAATTGGAATCTTCTGCTAAACACAGGATCAATTGTTCTCAAGCAGACGTCCTAAGTACGTCTTCAACTACTGGATGCAGCAGCAATATGGACTTGACACAGAGCAGCGTCCATCAAGTCGGCAACGCGTCAGTGACTGAAAGAGTTTCCACTATATTATTTTAGGAAAACTGTCATTTGCTGGGGATCTAAACAGTCACCAACACAGATTATGCAGTGTGTAAAATGTTTCCATCAGAGTGTATTGGAATGTATTTGTGAAGGCAGACAGATTTATTGTGCATAGGCTCCGTCAATGCTACGCCAATATTGTAGTCATTGATCATGTCAAATTAAAGCCATTTCATATGTTTCATTAACAGAATGGCCTGGCGACTTGTGAATAGTTAACCGGTATTTCACAAAAGGAAGGCCGGAGCCAATTGCAATAATAGGTACTTATGGCCCCATGATACAAAATTCCGCATCCGTTAAGGTTGATTGCTACCTTTCCAGGAAGATAGGTTGAACCATCTAGCCAGCTTGTCAATCCGCCCACCCTTCGCAGACCAATATGCGCTGTAATAAATGAAAATATACGGTGATAGAAGTTACCCACATGTGGTTGTATACGCATACAAAAACAGCAGCATTCCCAATCTACTCCCTGTCATTTTTTTAGAATTCCCCAGTGTGAGTGAGTTAAGGTGTACATTTGCAATATTTCAGCCATATCGTGACTAAAGCAGATCATACCGAAATCATTTACAGTTATATATTATAAAATATGTCGCCAGCGGACAAAAAACCCAACTAGAATGTCACATTAAGTGATTTACCTCTGGCAATTATATACTAGTGCTCAAAACCCACTTACAATAAACAGTGGGTTTGACCAAATTTTAATAGAAAAGAACAGCATATATAAATCAACATCTATTTAATTTCATAAGGGTATTCTACCCGTGAAGGTCCGGGTTAGAATATTGATCTTCAGTAACCCATGCTTGTCGTAAGAGGCGACTAACGGGATCAGATGGTCAGGCTCGCTGACTTGGTTGACACATGTCATCGGTTCCCAGTTGCGCAGATGGATGCTCATGCTGTTGATCACTGGATTATCTGGTCCAGGCCCGATTATTTAAAGACCGCCGCCATATAGCTGGGTGCGGCGTAAAGCTAAACTCTCTCATTCAATAGGGTATTCAGTTGTACAGCAAGTGTGTACGATGTCATTTCATGCGATGTCGAAAGTACCGTTTGATTGACACTGAAAGACACGTGGTATCACAGTGGGAACTTTTACACAAATCAACAAGGCAGGGTTTTTTTCTCCAGAATATCATCACATGTTGAATCAGTAGTGAGAGTGACCACCATTGGCTTCAATACACGCCAAAACACGTCGACACATTGGTGACGTGAGATGATGATTGACGTTAGGCGTGATCCATTGCCATTCCTGTAGGAGAAACGTGGCATTTTTGTGTTCTTTTCACTACTGCGTTGCTCACTTGTTATACCCTCAGTGTGCACGTGTGTGCATTTCGCATTACATCAGAAAAGTCGTTTTGGATTTTTTGCAACGCTTAGGCGATTTGTTAACCTGTTTCGCCGTTTGTTCCCGGAATGGATGTATCTGTAGGTGTATGACATGGGTCAGTATTGTTTTATCATTTTATTAATATTTTTGTGAATATTTATGTAATATTTTGCGGTGTATAGCTTCTTCTGAGCAATACTCTATATCATTTAGGACATTACAATATAAACTGGGCACCAGCAACTGAGAATTCTCCTCCGTATCACCATGGTAAGACAATGGCAGCACCTTGTGAAATAAACGAGGAACAAGAACGCAAAGTCTCCTCCCAAATTCCTGGTGTCTGACGACCAGGGTTAAGACAGTGCTAAAGCAGGGCATATTTATGCTAGTACGGCCAAGTAAACCTATCCTGAATGAGCCACCTCATGAGATGGGAAGTAAAAACATATTCATCATGTGCTTTGGCAGTACAAGCAAGAGGAGGAAACATGATCAAAGAATGGTACTTTATAAACGCGAGTGAATGAGTTAAAATTTTACGTCACATCGGCAGTATTTCAGCCATATCGTGACAACAAAAAATCATTTACAAAGAACAAATATATTCTTACCTTTATAAAAAGCTGTTAGCGAAGGACAGTATAACAACTAAATTATCACAATTTAATTAAAACTAGTTTGAGATCAATGTAAAATGCGTAATCAATTTCCAACAACACAATATAAATTCGGGCTATAGATCGCAACTGAAGGTATATCACCATGCTAGGGGCCATGGGGACTTACATTATTACCTGCATGGACACTAACGGGATTTACACAATCCCTGCCGCCGCTGGCGATTTTTGGAGAAATTGGCCATGCATCAAAATAACACAAATTCCACTATAAAACTTCTGGCAATGGTTAACATATATGGAATGATGTGGTGAATGATGGACCTAGCTAGATTTATGTCATCACTGCAGCCGTTGGCGATTTTTGAGCAAATTAGCCATAAATTAAAATAACACAAATGATACGATAAAAACTCTGGCAATGATAGATATACATTGGATGATGTGGTCTGGTGTACTCTCTTCGGAGGACAATTATTTTAAACTACTTGATTTAAGGAACGTCACGGGAAACTTACGATAGATCAACTTAACTCCCAGTGTGGCAACAATATAGTCTCGTTTCTCCACGGTGTTCAGGATGACCAGGCGGCCACCGTCACTCTCACATTGTTCCTGACTGGCTGTATAATTCATTGAAACATCGTGGTATTTGAAACACAGGTCTGCAGACGGGACTGACGTGTAACCCAGAGACAGAGGGCAGTGATCTGTATTTTGCAGAGAAAAATGCATGTGTAAGCACTAGTTCTAATCCATCATTTAAAAATACCATTATTATTTTCAAGGTAAACGCAAAATTAAAATTAATTTTCAAAGTAAAAACGATACCTCCTCCTTTACATGAACCATCCTGGTTTTCATAAAAAAGACATGCTATTACAATTGCATTCAACATTTCAATTTATTTCCAAGACCAAGGTTTCAAAATACTATCCTTTTACAGTGTATCAACTGTGCATTACTTAACAATTTTGATTTGGGGACGGGAGGAATTTTCTGATCTTCACGGAGAAACATATGATTTCCTTTTGATCAGCATTTGGCTCCTTGTATGGACAAGCTTTCGGATAATTTCAACATGCACTGTAAGTGGTTTTGTAAAACCTTAGCTTTAAACCTACAGTTAATTAAACCCAGAACATATTGACCAATATCCCCAGATGTTCTTCAAAACAATCTGACTTTCAGATATGAGGTATAAATTGTAAATGTTTGTTTTACTCTTGGAAATACGTCTTAAGTAAAGCCAGATAGAGATATTGCTTCAGTATTGTCAACTTGAGGACATATCATTTAGTCGAAATGCATACGTAACTTCCGAATGAAGTGCTAGACCTCAAAGTTATATGATCAAGCAGGGATGCAAAGTAGATAATGCTGAAGCGACCTCATGGATTATTCAAGAAAATACGCAGTCCTTGACCTTCAAACATTTCAAATTAATTCTATTAAATGGGCATATCTAAAGTGTTTGGTTATGACTAACCTCGTTTGATGAATGTTCTGGCATCAGGAGCTGGGACATCAGATATGAACCCACTGGCACCTGGGCTTGGTAAGCCAGATGTTGACAAGGATGAATTGTAGAGGAAACACTGTCCATCATGGTATGTGAGGGCCGCACATGTGTCCTCCTGGGCACAGAGTATCCCGCAGTCCACTTTACTGTCGGAATGAAGGACGCTGGATGGGATCTCTCCAGCCTTTTTGTTGTCCAGGTCCGTTCGTCTTAAAAGGGAATAGCCCCAAACAGTTCCCTGAGCAATGAAGATTGAACTGACAAGAGTGCGGACAAGTAACATCCACTTCATCTTTCTTCACAGAACATCTGGCAGCTCTTGATGGCCAGTGCACAGATACTACCCACGCTTTCTCCAGCATTGTCTGTTTGGCGTCACGAATCAATATGTAAATAGCCCAGTACGTGGTGAGCGACAGGGCATCTGTCACAAACAATGGACTCATTCACTATATCCTTTGGGTGGAACATGGTTTAATAGAAGGTACCTATGGCGGAGCCTAGTGGTTAAAGCGTTCGTTCGTCAAGCCGAAGACCCGGGTTCGATTCTCCACATTGGCACAATGTGTGAAGCCCATTTCTGGTGTCCCCCGCCGATATATTGCTGGATTATTACTAAAATCGGCGTAGAACCCGATCAGGGTGCGATGTACAAAGCAGCCTTAGCGCTACGACAGACGTACGTCTATGTTCAGGTATGGGGGGTTACGATCACCCAAGCGCTAAGATCGCTTTGTACAACGGCACCCAGGGACCCGAGGATTTAGATTTGTTTCATTCATAAGGTCAGTAGTCAGTATTAGCTCCAAGTGAGGTTTTGTGAGGTACGATAGTCCTATCTATGTAAAGAAGAAGGATTTTTACGACACAGATTAATGTACATCCAAGAGAACATTGAGTGCTTAATGTTTTAAACATAGGTTCGCTTCGTCGAGTTTATTCAATTGAATATGTGACGCCAATTGGATTATACACAGTTCTATGATCATTCGTTTAGCAGGTCATCATGTTTTTCATGAGATGTGTGCATATAAATAATACATATGTTATACTGAAAAACATGTGTTCGGTGCGAGTCTTGTTTGTTTCATGGTGAATGTTACTTGGATTTAAAAAACAATGATGTGCAATTCATGACGATCTCTCAGTGGGATTTTATGCCCATAAGAAACATACGTAAAATACATTGTGATTTATGCAGGGTTGTATTTAAATGCAAATCAGGTGTGTTCACAGGGCGGGGACCCTGACGATAAAAGTTACCAGCAATCAGTTGAAGGCGGTTTCTCTTGAGACTGGTTCTGGAAGTTTCTCCTTAAAGAAGGTATGTAAAACATGTTATACATTATGAAGGCCTGTACTTTAATGTACTGGTTCCCAGGGCCAAGTATCGTGCATAAGAATAGATTCCAGCAATCACTGTGAGTACAAAGTGTCTTTATTCAGATTAGTTGGTTTGTGGAAATTGAACGCCACACCATCTCCATGATGAGGTCATATATGATCTCAGGAGAACTTCATGTTGTCACTTCTTTACCCCCTTCCAGGGTACAGACTACTGAAACTGAAAATGCTAACTATCTGCAAAATTTCAAAATACATAAAAAGGTTAAATCTCTTTTATAAACGCAACTATTAAATGTGAACTTACATGATTCTTTTATGGATGAAATAGTTATCCCATCTGATTGAAGAAAATCAACACGCATTCTTTCCTCGTCTTTCAATAAATATTGGTGAGGTTTTAGTGGATGACCAGGACGACATAGTCTCAAATGACCTCTTCAATTCTGGAGAAAGAACCTGAACTAGTTATTGCCAATATTTTGGTTAACTGCATGTAATTTATTTACACGTTCTCGAGTGCCCTATGTTTTGTACCGCCGACCCCAATTGGTCGGGTGAGTATGGTGATGCCATCCATCCGTCCATGAGACATTTCTGTTCAACCAATAACTTCAAAGCTACTAGTTGGACTAACTTCTTTGTTTGAAAGAGATACTATATTTGTTGTAATTTTGTCAAGAATTATAGCAATGTAAAATTTACAAATTACTCGTCAGAGTATAACTCGGAAAATAAGCGCCAATATAGACCAGTTGCACCTCCAACATGGCAGCGGATACCCACGTTAAACCAGGCTCAGTCTGTAATCAACAGAGGTACTTGGCAAAACACCGTCATTTATTTTGTCTAGAATATACTCATGATAACGAATAAGGGTACACCTGAAAGTACACGTGTTCCTTTTATTCTTTTCAAGGTTTCTTCACAAGCTTTGTATTGCACTGTGTGTGAAATTCTGGAACAAGGAACACTTGTACTTTCATGTGTTCCCTTATTCGTTTCCATGAGTATATATTCCTGTTGCTTACAGCAATCTATTCTCCGATCCAACATGCTAAGAAATATCACACCATAAGCAACATCACACCATAACCAACATCATTTGTTTAACTTGATTTTAGTCTTTTACTTGATATAAACTGAACTGGAAAAAAACCTTTGCACCATATTGAAGTGACTGTAATTAATAAACTAAAAATAACAAAAGTTTTATATAAAGTATGTATAAACCAACAATTCCACAAAGCAGTCAACAACTCAAACTTGACATCTTGTGGTTAAATATTGAACACCAGACAAACTCATTGGGGGTTGAAAACTCAGTTGTCCAGATTTTCACTGCAATGCATTCAAACACGGAAAGTGGTCACAGACACAAAATGTGTCCCTCTAATACTGAGTATGGCCACCACGTGCCTCCATACATGCAAAGACTCTGCGTCGGACGGAAAACGTCAAACGTCGGATGAGGGCATATGGCAGGCGGTTGCCTTGAACTTGTAGAGCTTGTATCAAGTCTTGTCTGTTGCCGGGAGGGTGTGGTCCGTCTCTAACTCGCCTGTCCAAGACGTCCCAGAGGTGTTCTGTGGGTGATAAGTCAGGAGAATATGGCAGCCACGGTAACACGTTGTCGTTGTTGGTGGCAAGGAAGTCCACTACGATGCGAGCTGCGTGGGGCCAACCGTTGTGTTGATACATAACACCTTGGGGTTGTTGCTGAAGGAAGGGCAGCACTACTGGACGGGGAATGTCATCTCTATAGCGGTGTGCATTGAGGTTTCCATTGAAGACGAGGATTGGCGTTGTCTGGTCTCCACAAAATCACCCCCACCCCCACCCCCACCCCACCCGCACACACACACACACACACACACAAACCATAACGCCACCTCCACCGTATGGAACAACTTCCTGAACGCAGCAAGCAGCTGTCCGTTCACCTCTGCGATGGTAATCACGAGAACCTGCTTTCGTCCGTAAAGACCACGCGCTGCCAATCCATACACTGATACCGTCTTACTGTATTAGCCCATCGTAGTCTTCTGAGTCAATGTTTAATATTTAGCGGTTAACATTTGTCCTCTAAACGGTCGGTAGGACCTGATACCTGCTGCCCGAAGTCTTCTGGTGTTACTCTGTAGGTGCTCACCTGTCGACCCTAGGCATGCGCCGCCGATGACGTCACTGTGAGGAAGCGGTTCCGCAGTGCAACGTTCGGAGATACCAGTCTTCCTGTGGCGTAGTGACCCGTGGTCTCCCTGTTCAGGACCTGTCCGATGTGCGCCCAGTCTGTCTGAAACGTTGCAACAAGTTTCCAACGGCAACAAGGGAACAACCAAAGGTTCTTGCAAAGTGCCTGTGCGTGGCCCCCATCTGGACCATCCCAGTTGCTCGCTCACGTTGTTCTGATGTCAGTCTTGGTTTTTATACCCTTTTGGCACGTGCATTTCTACCAGCAATGAGAGCAGGTGATTTTCCAGTTTTTCGCATTTTCACAAAATCACGTGCGCATTGTTGATAAAAATTACCGGTATAACAACGCTGCATTTGGGCTATGTGTTTGTGTCTATTTATGTTTTTACCAGTGCAACGGATTTACAAGAACATTATTTTTAAATGTGCAAAGTTGCTTTTGTAGTTTAGTTTATTTCTAAATGCTTTTCTTTCAGGTAATCAATTTAATTGTTTTGTCTTATCTCACACAGGCTACTAAGCTGAGCCAGAACTTCATGTTTCAATGGACATTTTACATTTCTCCTTCTAGGTACTCTTTCAATGGAGACAACGTAAATATACTGAAAATACATTCGGTGTTAATCGGTACGTATGGTAAGTATCATGCATATTTCAGGTAATAGAAAAGGACTTGATACCCCATCAGAGAACAGCTGCCATATATCTGAATCAATATACAGCCATGGATAGGCTAAAATGTTCAGAATTTCACAAAAGCGGTATCTGGCAGATGCGTCCTAGTTCACCTCTACGGCGTGAATCGCTGCTCCAGTAGTCGCCATCTGTCTCATGAAATCTTAATGATACTTAACAACAATAGTTATTCTTACAGATCAGCAGTATCCCATAAGGTAGAATCTTATTTCCATATAACAACTTGCAGTCTGCACTCGGGCATGACCTTTTTTGGTATAAACAAACATACATTCAGGGACAACTTATTCTTTGAAGATCTTTAAAGGTGTTAAGAAGTTGGGCGAACATGAATACACTGGGGTTTTTTATATACAACTTCTATTTATTCTTTATACGACGTTTCAGAGCTAAGTATTGCTCCTTAATCAGGTGAATGCTGAGGATTTATTTTGATAAAAACATGTTAACACAACTCAAAGTGGGCGAACGTTCAAAGATTCTTTGTAAGATATACATTGAGTTCCCATCAAGGACGGCGTAATTTACCAACAAGAGGACATTTTAGATGGGGGAATTGATTCATGCATAAGTCATAAAAGCTGCCTGGTGAGTGATTATTGTTCAATCAAATCGTCAGGTGGACAGATCAATATTGCAGACTTCTGGGAGAGAAGTAAATATTTATTTTCTTTCGCACAACAGAAAGGGCTGCGCCTTTGTGAACAGGCTCACAAGTCGAGATTTTCTTTCAAGGCCAACTATCATTCATTTATGATTTACGTCACATTATATTTGCTTTTAAATAAGCCGAGCTATATATAATTGAAAGCGTCCCGGCAGTGATGAAACATTCATTATACTTTGTGGCATCCTTCGTCAGACCAGCCAGCTTTATTGTTTATAAAGACGCATGGAACATCACGCCTCAATTCCATTATCGATCAGCTAAGAGACTGTATGTACTCTTAATTGAAGAGTATATACTACTCTTAATTATTCTTACACAGTGGCTGGAAAGAACAAAAAAGGCAAGACGTTGCCAAGCGACCTAAACACCATTCTGTTAGCCACAG